GTGTTACAGGAAGCTATTATTCTCTTTATTCGCTGACATTAGTGTGTTCATGGATTCCCTTTGGCAGAAATGAAACATAAGTTCCGAAACAAAACAAATTTGGTGTATTGCTTGACTGGTTAACTAGTACATGTACATACTGCCACTTGTTTGGGCTGTAACTGTTCACGGCGTTTGGATTGGATGACTGGATTTAATGCACTTATACACTCAACCCGTAAGCACAAGCAATACGGCGCTATCACTGATCTACCGTACACACTTCACCGTTACACATGCACCAGGGTTCTCAGTCAACACTAGTCGTATCCTGGCAACGGATGACCAGTGTTTAGGACGAGATTCGAAGGGAACATCTTCCGAATACGAGTCTAAGGCGTTACCTTTACGCGAACCCGCTCGACCAGTTTATGCGGTTCTCAGATATGAATTTACCACCAGTTGTGGTTGTGCTGTATATTTACCCCCTATTTGAAGATAGTACGTAAGGTAAAGATATCCATGTAACAGGCCGTGGAGGCCCATAGGGTTGTGAGACGTCAAGGCTCCCACATTGTCTAGACAGTCGGCTCACAGATGGAAGTGAGGTTGTCAGCCTTACTCGCCGTCCGTCCTTTACCTCCCAGGGAGATTCCTGGTACTCATTTCTGATTGAGGCTGATTCGCCCGAGGAGCATACTGCGGCTGGAAGGATTAGGTCAACTGAGAACTCCAGTGACCCCATCGGGAATGGAACCCGTAACTTTGCGACTTGTAGCACAGTGCCTCAACCAACTACGCTACCGCGTGCCCCAGAGATAATAGGTTGCAATCGATTATGTATGTACGTACGTGTATATTCTTAGCAGCTTTTGTTATTGACCTTAGGCAGTTCATTTCCGTCGCCCAGACATTTTATCCTGTTTGTTGTGATGCAGAAACCACAATTCAATATTAATTCGCGACCAAACTTTCTACTACTCTTGGCTGTTTGCATAGTAAATGAAGTATTCACCGACAAAAGAAATCAAGTAGGTTGACTGTAAACATATGAATGTCGCAGTTGACAGTCGCCTTTGACTGTTTGCTTATTGACTTTTTGGACAGTATCCATCCTTTGTAAAGGTAAAGTTGCCCCTGTGCTAAACTAAACACTACGACATGAAGACGTATGGGGGAGTGGATGCCTAGAGCCACGTATTCTTGACCTGGACACCAGATGGAAGTGAATGGTCAGGTTCACGCTCCGGCCGCTTAACCCCCAGGAAAGGACCACCGTTACCTATTGGATATGAGGTTGGGTGGGCCCCAGTGTCGGTGTGGACGACGTGGAGAAGATAATCTTGCCCCCACCAAGGCTCGAACTCTGACCCCTTGGTCGTTCAGCCCTTAGGCAGTCGCTATATCGAATACGCCATACCGACTCCCCGTCATCCTGTATCTTTTAAAACGGCGTTTCGGAGACTGGACTCTGCTTTCGTCCTCAGGTAAAAACCATGTTCAGCTGGGCCCAAGCGATAGATCTAGTCCCCATCTATGGAGAACCATGCCATGAGAACATACAGGGGAGTGGAGGTATAGCTCCGCGTATTCTTAATCTCTACACTAGATGGAAATTAATATTCACCTTCAGGTCCTAACCGTTTTAACCCTAGGAAACAGCTCCAGGTACCCATTAGAGCGGAACTGGGTACACCCCGGAGCCGGTCTGGGTGCTGGGTGGAGATCTCTGTTTCTCTCAACACTCGAACCCAGAATCCCCGGTCATCAAGCCTGTAGACTAGTAACTATATTGACTGAGCTATCCCATCTCTATTTTATGGGGGGAAAATAATACGTACATATACACGCAGACTGTTTTCCAAGAACCTCGTGTTTTTCCTGTTCGCGTGAAACAGCATCAGGCAAGTCTTTCGTTTTCAGCCCATGTTCACAGGAGCGGACAAAATCATGTGACGTGTAGTTACGTTTTTGTTGGGTTCGATATTCTCACAGCAGTGATTATGAAGAGTGCGTTGTAACACCCTGTAGTTCGAAGAAATTCTCAAGTTTCGGAGGAATATGCCGCATATCCGAAACGTTGGGCTTTCTCCAAACTAAGCAGTGTTACAACAGCCCATGAATCTGTACTCTTCAATTTTGCTTTATTTTCCGTTTGTGATACCAGTTCGATTTCAAGCAACATTTGCTTGCTGTGATTCCCCGTATTTGTTCAGCCTTTGAAAGTAACCGCTGGGCATATACGACCCACTCATATCGATCCATCGAGGCGTGTTTATTCTTTCAACTTCTTTTTTGTCGACGCAGTAAACATTCGCTAAAACTGTATTGGCAATAGCGTGAAGCGGCAGCTGCACACTGCCAGTCAGTGACAGTGAATTCCAAGAGTCTGTATGTCAAAGCAATCCTGTTTTTTCTCCCGGATAATTTTTATGAACGGAAGTGACAGAAGGCATACAGTTTCGGAAATTATTTTACGTCATTTTGACCTTTATTTTGTACTTGATACTTGGATAAAACAATTAAATCTTATAGGAATGCATATAGGATATTGGTGGGAAAGCCAGAAGGAAAGAGACCACTGGGAAGACCAAGGCGTAGGTGGGTGGACAATATTAAAATGGATCTTAGAGAGATCAGATGGGATGGTATGCAGGTGCTGCAAATTTAAGAGGTCCATGTCCGCCGCTAATTTCCAGGAGGGTCAAGCATAAGTCATTACTGATCTAATTAGTGCTTTGTGGAGGGTTAGTTTAATGTTGGCGCTTAAACGCTCACTTTTGAATAGGGAGTAGATTATAATAAATGTTCTGAAGGCCTTGGCTTCAGTCACTTCTATGTGCAGTCTCCATGTAATCCTCTTATCGAAGATTACACCAAGATAATATACATGATTGACGAAGGGGATATTCTGTCCATTCAGTGTAAGACGAGCCTCATGGGGCCTAAGTCTTAACGACTTAATTTCCTTAAAATAAAGTTGTGACATGTCGAACCGTTGTTGGGCAACGGGATGTGGAACGAGTTACCACGGAGACAGACTCTTGATAAACGGTCGGTTGCCAAGTTGCCCAACAGTTGAACGAGGTTACGCAACAACAAAGAAAGCGGTGTTTCTCCGTGCCGTGCCTAGCCGAGCCGAAGCGTCCTGGTTGCTAAGCAGCGTTGCCCAGCAACGCCTCTGTAAACACGGCGATTACGCAACAGTGAAGCGAGGCGCGTTTTCCGCTGCCCGACTGAGGGTTTATAAGAGAGACTGTAATGTCTAAGAAGTCAGTTGAAATGTAGCCGCCGCCGAAGACAGTGTCAGTTAGTATTCGGAGGATCAGAAGTCAGTCAGTCAGTCGCGGGGAGAAGAAGAACCGAACGCGCGTGTGATAATCAGTGATAGTTTGTGATAACTGAGAAGGTACCGGGAGTGTGTAATACAGTGACACTTGTATAGCTCCCGTGTTGTACTGTAAATACGTGAAGAATACTGAAGATAGTGTGAAGAGATTAGGTGTAGGGTTTGTAAATTGGTAGCGTCCATTGTTTATCTTCCGTCCAAATTGCAACACTTTTTACATTCTACACTTCAGCACTACATGTTTCGGCCCCAAACGGCCATCTTCAAGTGTTTTTATGTTACAGATATTTTACTAAAACTGTGTTAAAAACTGCTACACTGTTTTAATTCGTGTTAAAATCACACGCTGTAGTCTTCTTCTTAAGTAAAACGAGATAAAATCCTTAAAAATTTCTGTTGCATAATATTTCAGCTCACCCGAGGTGTCGTCATTTTCGTAAATGTATCAAGGTGTTTTTCTCGGCAGCTTGCCCCTCACGTTCGTGGTCTACTTTCAGTTTTTGACTGCCATATGCTCCTGGTTTGTGTGTGCTACCTCCACAGGGTGTGGTGTTTTTACTAGCAACACGAATTAACACAGTGTAGCAGTTTTTAACACAGTTTTAGTAAAATATCTGTAACATAAAAATACCTTAAGATGGCCGTTTGGGGCCGAAACATGTAGTGTTGAAGTGTAGAATGTAAAAAGTGTTGCAATTTTGACGGAAGATAAACAATGGACGCTAATTTGAACAATTGCAACGGGATACTGAAATACAGAATCATTTGTAAATTGTGTAAACCCGCAATAGTGTTATAATCAATTGTAGTTACAACTTGTAGGTTGTTAAATAAACCAATTAACAATCCGAATGGCGTATTCAGTAGACAAAACACGTTAAAATCTATACAAATTCAGTTCTTACCTCACAGGGAACAATTTATGTCTGTGCTACAATTATAAGCAGGTTAATTCGGTCTAGGGAAGCGATCTGTGTTTATTGTGAGAACTGTATGAAACACACAGTTACACTCTGTGGGCAGAATGCAGAGTTTTAGTATGTTACAGTAGATGGGGCATATAGCAACCACTGGGCTTTAAAAGGTTAATTTAAAGTGTGTAAAATAAATCCATCATAAAATTTTATACAAGTTCACCGATATGCCGCCATTATGTAAATGATTTTGATCTTTATTTGATGACTTTCACTGTAGCTAAATGTAATTAAGGAGATGCGTGGATGTTCAACAGCTGTCAGAGTCTGTCAGTGGTTGAAGAAGAATTAAATGAATGACCCAAATGAGTCTAGCGTAAGGTACCCGACCAACACCCAGATTCCCAAGGAGCTGAAATAATTGGGAGAGTTTGAACTTATTTTTACACAAGCAGAATCTGACTCAGGACCTTTTAAGGATTCTCTTTACGAGTCTATGATTGCATTTCAACAAAATTTTTACATTGAGAAATTAAGGGCAGTATTTTTACTCTAACCTCTCACATTAAACATTCAGCTGTCACCACAAAGACAAAAGTAGCAAACCTCCTGATCATCCACACGTTTTTTCACCTATTACAAAAGTTTTAAAGAACTCAGGTTTTAGGTCTAGACGATTTCCACAGGTTTAATTTGTTAATTACCAGTAACTAATTTCCATAATTTCATTCTTAACATAATGGTTTCTTTCTTTACAGGACCAATTGATGCTTCACAACCCTATTCAGTTCCAGAATGTCTTTGAAGCTACCCATAATATATTCAACTCGTTGTTCACCTAAAAAAGTGACATGTTTCATACTGCTGTTAATGTTGATGGGGTATTTGCCCTTCATAATATATGACATGTATGTAACATCTGTAGAAATTAAGTTCTACAGCATTCACATGGAAGATGTTACTTGCAATACCAATGAGTTTATGTGCATAATACCAGATTATGACCCATATGATCCACAAGTAAGACAGTACTTGTCTACATCACATGTAATCCAATGTGGCCAACCGCAGCTCTACCTCACATATCTGGATTCTGATGGCTTCATTCATCTTAACAAGACGACCATCAGGAACAGTGGACATAAAGAGAGTGATTACGAATGCCACTACTCAGAGATTTTCCGCACAAATAAATCAGACGATAAGTTTTCTTTAGGAATTGCGCAAATGTTTAGGGAAACTGAAAAAATTCGTTCATCTACATTTGTTCTAGTGAGGTGCTACTTAAAGAAAGCGGAGTTGGTGTACGAAACAGGACACGCATATGTGCCTCCCCCATCTGCAGAACTGAATGAAGTCTCCAGGAGACAGGGTTATGATGATACTGATCGTCCCAGCGTCCTCATATTTGGACTAGACTCCATGTCACGCCTGAATGTTATTCGGCAGCTTCCAAGGACATACCACTTTCTTACCAATGTTCTGGATGCCATAGTTTTCACAGGAGTGACCAAAACTGGTGACAATACTTTCCCCAATATGATGGCACTGTTATCTGGAATTAATGTTCATAAATGGAACAATAAAACCAGCACCTTCACAGTAGAGAGACCTGCCTACTTTGATGACATTCCTCTAGTCTGGGATTCATTCAAAGATAGCGGATATGTTACAATGTACAATGAAGACTCTCCAAGTCTGACAATCTTTAACTTCTGTGCATCAGGCTTCAAGGACCCTCCAACAGACTATTATGTACGCCCATTTTGGCTTGCTATGAATAGTATTAATAATTTTAAATCAAAAGACAATCGGTGTTACGGCAGTACTCCAAAACACATGTACCTTCTTGATTATATTGAACAGTTTGCAGCAAGGATGAAATATCACCGGTATTTTGCGTTCACGTTCCTGACACTTCTCAGTCATGATGACCTCAACGAAGTGCAGGTAGCAGACTCAGATTTTGAGAACATGTTCCTCAAGATGCAGCAGGGAGGACAACTCAACAACACCATTGTTATAATGCTGGGAGACCATGGAAACCGGTTCACTGAACTACGAAAGACAGACATTGGACGAATAGAGGATCGCATGCCCTTCCTTGCTGTGTCACTTCCAAAACAATTCAAACACAGATTCCCGCATCTAGTGGCAGGACTGGAAGAGAACCGTAACAATCTGCTCAGTTGGTATGTGTGATGGGTTACAAATACCGCCATACATAACTATGGTTCATAGTCACAGGCACAGAACAGAACAGATGTAGAGGTTATGGGCAGGCCAGCACAAAGATTTTGAACACCATATGCACTTTCATTGTTATGTCTCCTGTTACTGTCCAGAAAAAGCTCAAACATTCACATTGCTTGTTTATGCACTAATGATGTACTTCTTCTCTCTTTGATCCTCTGCAATTAATCACTGACCCTGAGGTGCCTTAAAACACACACACACACATGTATAGGTAAGGTAAAGTAACGTTGTACTTGTGGTCAACGAATTAAGCACTATGCCATGAAGACATATGGGGGAGTGGATGTATAGATCCACATTTTCTTGACCTCGGCACTAGCTGGAGGTGAGTCCTCAGCTTCACGCCCCTGCCGCTTTAATCCTGGGGGAAAGAGCCCCTGGTACCCATTGGATAGGAGGTTGGGTGGACCCCAGAACCGGTCTGGATGATTTGGAGAAGAGAAAATTCTTGATCCTACCGGGACTCGAATGCAAACCCTGTTTTCCAGCCTATAGCCAGACGCTATACAAACTACACTACCACGTAAAGTGAGACATGTGGAGAGGAGGTCTAGCTCCACTACTCGTGACCTTGCATTAGGAGAAGGTGTGGTCAGCTTCACAGGTCCGCCACTTTATCCCTGGGGAAATCGCTCTAAGTGCCCATTGGATAATAGGCTTTCTGGGCCTGAGGACCAGTCTGCACGCTATGGAGAAGAGAAAAATCTTACCCCTGCCAAGAACCAAACCCCAACTCTCCAGCCCATAGCCCATCTCTATAATTACTGAGGTAGCCTGACTGTTCACATATATCTAGTAATGTTCAAAATATTAAGGAAACACACTAAATATCAGTCATTTCAGAAGGCAACGTTGCTGAAGTTATAAATGTAAAGAGTTTATTTGTGGTGTGGCTTGTTCATTGTTTGATGAACAGAGATGTATTTAAAGCTTACAGGGGACACAGACATGATGCCGGTGTAAGCCCTCACTTCCTTTCAGTTGATTTTTTCTAAATATGGAGATGATTGCATACATTACTTTTTGTGAGAACAGTGACAGGGCCAGATGCCAGCAAAATCATCCACATTTCTGATTTCAGTATTTTATCACAGATTATATACCTAGAATAATTCATCCAGTTCCCTTCACAGACATCAAGAGTCCTTTTCCTTTAGCACCTAAATGTTACATACTGAAAGCTCTTGACTTGTTGCAGGTTCGACTTCTATGAAATGCTCATGGACTTAGCTCATAACAACCTGGGAAAGAAATCCTTGGTCAATCGTTATGGAACCATTGGAAGCTCACCATTTCGATGGATATCAAGAAATCGAACCTGCCAAGAAGCTGGGATACCTGACGAGTACTGCATATGTGCAAGGGAGACACAGCTGAACACAGATGATGAGAGGGTAAAGAATGCTGCTAGAGATTTGGTGGCTTTCATAAATTCTGATCTTCTAGGAGGGACTGTTAGCCAAGGACTGTGTTCTCCTCTAAGTTTAAAGCGTATCCTGAGTGCACAGATGCTGACTCTTGGTCCTCAGGTTGCACAACCCAGGGGGTTCAGAGTACTCTATAGAGTGATGGTGCAAGTGATGCCCAGCAAGGCACTGTTTGAGGGCACTGTAGAGGTCACTGCATGGAGCAAACAAGGTAGAATTGTGGGAGACGTGAACAGAATCAATAGGTATGGAAATCAGTCGCACTGTGTCACTGACAGTATTCAACAACTTTACTGTTTCTGTACTGATTTCTTGAATGGAATTCGGTAGAGTGATCCACAGGAAGTGAGAATCAACCATTAAAGTCAAACCACATACATCCTGACACAGGAATAGCTTATTCATGGTGATTCTTTCATAATTCATTTTCGCTCTTTTTCATCCACCACACAGATTGCAGCCAAGATATAAGATACACAGATATGTAGCATTAACTGACTAATTTTGCTTCAGGCATATTCTTTAAGAGAATAAAGGGTGGAAATGTGTTTTATAAAGAAACGGAAGTGCTTTATATACACAAGTATATACTCATATATAATTATTTTAAGGAATATTTCTACTTAACTCTTAAATATATAAACTTGATGATTTAGAAAGGCTGTGATAATGTTTCTTGGTGACAGAATTTACTGTTCATTAAGAAATTCCAATATTTTCTGGCAAAATGAAGAGAAAATGCTACTACAACACGTAAAATAGCAGAACTCAGATATAGTTGGGTTTCGTAAAGTACCTGCTTTTAATTTCTGTATTCAGTATAAAAGAAAATAAATATATAGATTACAGAACTCATATGTATGTACTTGCTGATACTACCAGCAGAACTTTACTGCTGCTTGCCACTTATGTCTTGATGACATATGCAAGACAATTTTTGTTAGGCACAACCAGTGTACACAGTGGTCAGAGTGCCTTAGAGATTCACAGTGGAACGGAAATAAGGTTTGCAGTAGCAGGGGTACTTGATTTCCACACGTGGCAGTACAGTCTGTATTACTTTTGTGTGCTTTAGGAACACACCCTTGATGAATGTGTTGCATAGATTCCGGCAATATTCTCAGTTGTGCAAATTCAACTCACATAAACAAGAAAATCTCAGGGAACAATGTTATGACCATTGTCAAAAATAAAGTATGAAACATTTAATGCATGTTCTTATCATATTTATTTGGTTTGAGCCATTATATATTCTCCTTTTTTCCCCTTGTTGATTTCTGCTTTCCCTTGCCCCTGTCATTTCTAGGTGTATTAGCAACATTCCACTGGACTGTATGTGTCAATACAAGAGCAGTTTCTCAGTGTCGGATAACACAAAATATGCACATATATTTGCTTGTTGTGAAGGTGAAAAGGTTAAGTTGTCCATGTTCTTAATTAATTAAGCACTATGCCATGAAGACATATGGGGAAGTGCAGGTACAACTTGACCATTCTTGACCTTGGCACTAATTGGACGTGAGGGCTAAGCTTCACTCCCCGGTTCACATTGGATAGGAGGCGGGGTGGGCCCTAGAGCTGGTCGGGATGCTATGGAGAAGGGAAAATTATTGTCCTGCCGGGGATCGAACCCCGGCTGTTCAGCCCATAGTCTGTTGCTGTCCCAACTGAGCTATCCCAACTCCATATTTCCTTGTGACATAAACAAAATTTCAAGGCCTTATATATATATAATTGTTTTATTAAATAGTAATGTCGAAATAACAGAATTTGGTAAGAAAATGTTAAAAGTGGTCCCTTGGAGGCTGAGGAATATGTGGTAAATGGGCCGGTCACGGTAGCCGAGCGGTCTAAGGCATGTACTGTCTTCGCTGGCTTGGAAACCGGGACCGTGGGCTCGAATCCCACTCGGGGCATGGATGTGTAGTTTGTACGTGTGCGCTTTTCTGTGTTTGTGTATAGGTAGAGGCTTTGCGACGAGCTGATCACCCGTCCAAGGAGTCCTACTGAATGTGTAAGATCTAGAAAAACCGAAGTGAACGGAGAAGTTCATGGAGGTAGGCCTAGGCCCACTGGGGCTGTAGTGCCAAGGGAAAAAAAATATTAAATGGGTCATAAAGTGCTGTAGTGCTGTGGATTTAACTGAAATGGTACAGGGTGATGTTCAGTTTACTTTAGCAGTGATTAAACTGATTTATATTGTCCCTGAGGTAGTTAGTTTTCTACAAAATACTTTAGTCCTTAGAAGAGAATTAAATTACTGTAATATAACATATTAGCCAGTTAAACCAAAGGTTATTTCTAGAGGTCCTAAAGTATTGTGTATTTATCCTCTTCGCAAAAATGAATGTAAACTGCATAGATTACTTCAGAATTTTACTTTTAATTCATTACAACCAACTTCTGAATCCCCAAGTTTAGCACCATTATGTAACCATGATTTTATTAATCCAATAGGTAGATACTATTTCTAAGAAAGAAGCAATAAAAGCATTTTATTGAACTATGTACAATGCATGTGAACATATGGAGGAGTGGCATTTTAGAAGGACTGACAAAAAAGTGAAATGTCTGGCAGTTTTGGACATGTGTTGCTGCCTTTACAATAGGCAAGATTTGTTACTGAAACTCAGGTGACACATACTTGACAGGAGTTAAGCTGTGAATTTCTGAATAGGAGGGAGGAGAATGATTTTCAGAGCACTGTCTTTTGCAATTGGAATTAACCTCGGCCAGTCATAATATTTGCCAAAACAGGCAATATAGTGGTCAGATTTAGTGAACTACCTATGTCTTTCTCAGGGAACTATAGAAAATAACTAAAATATGAAGACTCTGAATTTAGCTTGACAGTGAAGATTAGAAATAAGCAGAAAACAAATTGTATTTATTATTCCTGTATGTATTTATGTGATTCTACAGATGTGATGATAATGTATTTTAGCATCCCCTGGCACATAACTTACACACAAATGCATATCATTTGTGAAATGTATCGTTTACATAGCTTTCATTTACTCTCAAGGAAACCAGTTATCTCATTACATTATGGTCTTGTAGCATGGATTTGAATGATGAAATTTACAATATTTTTATATTTGTGTTTCCATTATTTATAGTACTTGTTGAAGTGATGTTCTGTTTGTGTGTTGTGCACAAGTTTTATTATCACGAGTTTCATACACACACAGGTTTAATATGCTGAGAATGGTGACTTAATATATAACCTCTGAATGGTTCCTCTATATTCAATACAGAGTTCTTCCTTTATTATTTGTAAAATAATATATTGTATTTCATTTTGTACAGTTTGTATATCAAAGTTTGTGGACATATCACTTGAAAATTAAACTACATATCACATAATTTTGAAACATAACTTGTTCATATGCATTCAACTTGTCAGGGTTTTCCATTGCAATCTAAATCACATATAGTATATTAAATGAAAGGCCTAAGCACAGACACTCAGCACATCCAGTGGTTGGTATCATGCAGCAAGCTCTTGTTATGAAATTATTTACATTCTTTTCAAGAACTAGATCAAGAGTGAAATAACACGCCGAGAGTGGGTTCTTTACTTCCTGTGTCTGAAAAACCAATAAAATAAATTAAGAAATTACAACCTTGTTTGTTTTCTGTTATGTAGTTTCCTTCTCTTTGTGGAATTACAGTTACACAATACATGAATAGTCAGACAGACAAGACTGGAAAGTTGCAATCAGTACCAGAGTGCATAAAGTTTCCAGATGCATTATTTACTGTTTCATGCATGTCATCAGTAGTCGGTATACTGACTGGCTACAGGCTGGTCAACTGAGGGGTCGGAGTTCAAGTTCTGGTAGGGCCAAGAATTTTTTCTTCTCCAAGTCATCCAGACTGAACCTGGAGATCACTCAGCCTCCTGTCCAATGGGTACCGGGGGTAAAGCGAATGGGGCATGAAGCTGACCACTCAACCTCGAACTAGTGCTGAGATGAATAAAATGTGGATCTATACATCCACTCCCCCATACGCCTTCATGGCGTAGTGCTTAGATAGTTAAGCACAAAAAGAACTCTAAAGAGAACTATTTTCTGGAATGTAACACCGGCAATAAGCCTGCTTCTTGCTGGCCACTTGCTTGGTTTGCTCTTCCACCCTGAAGACTGAGGCAGCATATTCGTCTGAAACATCAGTGAATTTCTGTTGGACTACATGGCGTTACAACCTAGAAGATTTTTAAGAGTCTTATATTCCCCTTAAAATTATTCATCACTGCTGTAGGGGTGAAAAATCTCCAAATATCTTCATGACCATATATTGACAAAGTATCTTGTACTCAAGTCCCATCTAGTTTCTTTTGTGGGCAACTGTAAATTGGGAAATTCATACAGAAACCTGATTAGGCAGCTCCGTGAAAATCAGCCACTTGGTACATAGAGGACGTGGGAGGATGATAATTTCAGTCCCAGCCGAGAATAAACTGGATATCAGCGAAGAAGATTTCATGGACAGGAACTATGATGAAATGCCTCAGGACTAAGTAAGATAATAGACTTTTCTGTTAGTACTGCTAACTTTTTGTGTTTTATTCACGAATGTCTAGGCCTACCATAACAAAAATGGCACGTCTTGCATTGAGACTAGAAAACGTGGAAAACATACATAAAAAGCAAATGAATATTGGCTAGTCCTACCATAACAAAAATGGCACGTCTTGCATTGAGAATAGAAAACGTGGAAAACATACAGAAAAAGCAAATGAATATTGGCTAGTCCTGCCGTAACAAAAATGGCACGTCTTGCATTGAGAACAGAAAATGTGGAAAACATACATGAAAAGCAAATGAATACTGGCTAGTCCTGCCATAACAAAAATGGTACGTCTTGCACTGAGAAGAGAAAACGCGGAAAACATACGTAGAGCAAATAAATATTGCAATTTACATCTTGAATACTGTTCGAGACATGAACTCTGGTTTCTTGGAGTTACTGAGCAGCTTGAGATAAAAGCAGCAAAAATCGAATGGCAGAGATGATGATGATGAGGCTGCATGTGTCTAAGGGATCAAATGGTCAAGACAGAAGGTTCTCACTCCATAATCAAACGTGCATTATAAGCTGTTTGTTCACGAGGAGATTAATGACGTCATCATACATAAACTGACCTCAGAAATGAATGTAGGGATTCTAGCACAATTGGTCATTAGTGTTCACTACAACAGTCCAAGAACTAACTATAACATTAGGGGCAGGGATAGCTCAGTCGGTATAGCGATTGGCTATGGGCTGGACGATTGAGGGGACGGAGTTTGAGTCCCGGTAGGGTCAAAATTTTTCTCTTCTCCACGTCGTCCAGACCGGTTGTGGGGTCCACCCAACCACCTATCCAACGGATACCGGGGGCTCCTTCCCCAAGGGTAAAGCGGCAGGGGCGTGAAGCTGACCACTCACCAGCTACTGCCGAGGTCAAGAAAATGTGGATCTATACATCCACTCCCCCATACGCCTTCATGGCGTAGTGCTTAATTAGTTTAGCACAGGGACAAATTTGCCTTTACTGAATGCATATTGCTTTGTCCACTTTTGGTGCGTAGTTGCTTTAACCAGATCTAAGGCGCAGTTGCTGCAACTGAAATACTACGGGTACCCGCGCGAATATTCGAATCGAATCCTGTGCTGTGTGAACGCAAGAAATAATGTACACTTCAGCAATTAATTTAAACGAACGACTACATACATGAATATATGTGCCGCTCCATAGCTCAAGCGGTTAGTCGCTGGCTTCCCACCACGGCAGCCCGGGTTCGATCCCGGGTCTGGTCAAGTGGGATTTGTGGTGGACAAAGTTGCGCTGTGGCAGGTTTTCTCCGAGTACTTCGGTTTCCCCTGCCAATCTTCATTCCACAAATTGCTCCACAATCACCCTCACCTATTATCTGGGGCTGGTACAATAGGCCAGAAGTGGCCGTAGTACAAGGGACTTAGTCCAACTCCACTAGCAATACAAGGGACTTAGTCCCACCCCACTAGCAATACAATGGACTTAGTCCCACCCCCATTAGCAATAAAAGAAATTCATGAATACATAAGATATAAACATTCATATTTGTAACACTTTCTCTAGTACTTCGTCGCTTCGAAATTACTGTTTCGCGGTGAACGTTATACCATGTGAAGAATAAATTAGAAGCGAAACGTCAAGTTCCCGGTCGCACTAAAATAACGTCTGTATTGAACACGAGAAGCTTCTGTGTTTACGCTATTACCGGCATACTCTTCAGTGTTAACCAAATTAAAACTAACTCCCTAAATGCACTACCGGACACTGTACACATTGGTATAAAGAAACGGAACTCAAGTGACATTCTTAACATACGAATTCGAGGCCTATCGAGTGATGGTTAATTCTCAGTTAACTTTGTTTTACGTTACAAGTTTTCTAAGGGAAAATTAAGAGGAGATTGAACTTGAAATGCTTGCTACCATTCAGTCCAGAACTTTTTGTCTTCTTGTCTACTGTCTAAAAACATAAAAATTATAATATACAAAACTATAATTCTGCCTCTGGTCCTGTATGGGTGTGAAACTTGGTCTTTGACATTAAGTTTGTGCCGCATCCTTGAGGAAGGCTTAACAGAAACCGCTCTGTCCATCCACCTAAGCGGCTCGAGGATCGCTGAACGGATTTTCATGATGTCTCAAGTTGTTCCTAATATGCAAAGACACGTTCCAGTCTCAGCTGAAACGGAGCAAAGATACCGGCCACTGTACCTAAGATCAACATGCTTTTATCGATAAATATCCATAGGAGAAACAAATGTTTCGATCAAACTTCGTACATAAAAATGAGACAGGCTTTATATTCGATATAATTCTTCAATAACCATGGGTTTTCTTGATATTTAACAAAAGGAAATGAACGCCCAACAATTATTACGCGATGCGCAGACATTTTCAAAATCCTACTGAAACTGACTACTGACCTCTATCTAATGCCGAGGTCAAGAATGGTGGAGCTATAACTCCACTGTTCTATAAGTCTTCAAAGCATGATGCTTAATTAATTAATCACAGGGACAACTAAAACTGTACTTTTATATATTTAATGAATATACAATTAGCGTATTAGACCGGTGTAAGGCGAGGTTTTATTTTGAAATACTACTTCCTTGAAAAGAGGGGTCACCTTTTCTCGGGTCCTTAAGAATAAAGATGAAGAATAAGATTATCATGAATTGTAATTACTAATTCAAACGACTTTTATGAGGGGGCACGCGGTAGTGTAGTTGATTGAGGCACTAAGTTACAAGGCGGGAGGTCGCGGGTTCGATTCCCCATAAGGTTATTAAATTTCTCATTTGACCTAATTCTTCCAATCGCTTTATGGCCCTTGGGTCGACTCAGTCTCTAACAAAAGTGAGTACCAGAAATCTTCCTGGGGAGCAAAGGGCGCCCGACGCGTAAGGCTGACAATTTCACCGCCATCTGTGAGCCGATTGTCTAGAAAATATGGGAACCTCAAAGTCTCATAACCATATGGGCCTCCACGGCCTATTACAGGAATAGCTTTAATGACTTGTATGAAAATACCTAGTATTATATTCAAGGTATTAAATTTTGAATTTGTTATTCTTTAATAATACAGTTTTGACTTCTTTTTCTTACAACATTCAGAGCTAAATGAGGTATTCAATTTTATATAAAAACTTTTCCCATATTTTCTCATTTGAAAAACAGAAGTTTCCTTTATATTCGGACTTGTATGGCATTCGTGCTACTGCAAGCGTTGCCTCGTTACGACATAACATTTATCTCATATTTTACTTTCTTTGGGCGAGTTCTCAATGAATAGTTACATAATGGCACGTATTAGCTTCGCCATGACACATCTATCTATCCGTCTAGCCTTATGTAACAACAAAACGAGTTTTCATTAAATCTGATATTGAGAACTTTATTAAAATTCACCTATGCATTTCGATTTCAGTTAAAATCGATAATAAATAATGAATCCGTCTTGTGAAGGTCTAAATACCTTTTTACTCTCATCGATATCCAACTTGCTAAATATTTATCTGAAGAAACCTATGTTCAGAACAGAATGAACGCAGAGAAATGTGACACATGCTTACACTCACTCATGGAGCTGAGCCCTTCTTGAGAAGCCGCCAATTGTGCCGTTACTTAAGAACTTCTGAGCGTTTTATGGAACCCGAAGGTTCATTATCGTGTTCACAAGAGCCATCTACTGGTCTCTATCCTGAGCCAGGTCAATCCAATCCATACCAACCAATCCTATCTCTCTAAGATCACACATGCTTCATGCTCAATGAACTTTTCTCCCCGTAAGTCTGTTTGCGAGATAATTAAACAAAATGGAGCTAAAGCGGCAGAACCCTTATGACATGCCTACAATTCCTAACTTGTTTAATATACACCTTGATTTAAGTAAGCGTTTGCTCATGGAAAAGGATGTCGTGCCTCAGAATTCCAGTTCTAAGAAATATTAGCTACACTGGTTACAGAGAGAGACAAATCCCCTTGGAACATGTATGACACAATCTGTAATTTGTACAGGTGGCCAGTCTGTATTAATCTGCTTCCATCCGTCGAGACAGGTCACAAGATTACACATGTGTTCAGTACCCTATTGCCCCCCTCCAACCACCACGAAGGACCCGATCTGCCGTCTCACGTGACAAAAGTAATATCAGCATTGTCTTATTACCACATATAAAACAGACCAACGCCAGAAATATGTTTCAGAAGACGCCATTAATTTCTAGAAACATGAAGGTGCTTTCTGTAATTGCGTTAGGCGTTTTCGCGCTAAGTGTGATTGCTTTCAGAAATGTAGCAACACTTCCAAAACTTAAATCTACTGCAGCGGCTCCTTTCGACTGGCAACAATTTCTTCCACAAGGTAAGATTTCAAAATTTTGCCTCTTATTTCATCTGTTTTTGACGATCATAGTGGCCTCCCGGTCTAAGGCATGAACTGTTTTCGTTCGCTCGAAAGCTGGGATCGTGGGTTCCATTCCCGGCATGGATGTCTATGTATGTCTATTCTGTGTCTATGTTGCTGTGTGTGTAGGTAGCAGCCTAGCGACGGTCTGATCCCCCGTCCAAGGAGTCATACGGACTGTGTATAGGATTAAGAAATTGAAAAAGCGGCCAAGGTCCAACAAAGGAATATAGAGCCATAGATAAATAAATATAGATTTTATCTCTTTCTTTGTAACATCTTCGCTATCGTAACTCAGACTATTTAGTATCTAACGATAGTTAATAATAAGTTGGAAAAGATGTCTTCCATAATTTCCATGTAAAATGCCTGCATTTGCATGTAGGAGCTGAAGAAATCCACGATCATCCTCAGAATAGTAGATGTTCCGGCCAAGATTCGAACCCAGCATTTACCAGACGCAAATCAGAAGCCGTTACCACTTGGGTAAATTTGCTGGGTGGGCTTTCTCTTATAACTGTCAGATACAATGGGAGCACTGCATAAAAAAGCAATTTAAAGCGACAAGACCGAAAGCAGATAAACGTATGTTGAAGACAAAGTAATTTAATATTTTGTGAAACGAAAATTTCTTCTAATCTCGCTGTGAAGACGAATATCCTGCTTCGTATTTTGAAAGTCGCAAATTCGAATTTCGACATCGAAACAGCCTGTATCGTCGAATACAGTGGAGTAGCATCTATCGGGGGTGGGGGCTGCTTTCTAAAGACGTTGCTTAAACCCAAAACCGCGTACATTCAGAATTACACTTTAGAAGTTCCTTAAATCGCCTATAAAGTACATGCTTTTATATATAACATCTAATATGTATGTAATCATGCAATAAATAGTGCATATACAAGCAAAATGCACAGTAATTTTATTTTTAATTACATAAAAATAGACAGAAGAATGAAAAAACTGAAAACAATAAAAGCTAGTAAGGAGGTTGGTCTAGAAGTAAACGCAGAGACAACTAAGTACATGTTGCTGTCTCGTGACTAGAATGCAGGGAAAAATTCATGATATAAAAATAGCTAAAAGATCTTTTAAAAATGTGGCACAGTTCAGATATTTGGGAAATACTACAACAAATCAAATTTAGAGGAGACTGAATTTGGGTAACGCTTACTACCATCCAATCCAGAACCTTTTGTCTTCTCGCCTGCTGTCTAAAAACGTAAAAATCAGAATATACAGAACTATAATTTCGCCTGTGGTTCTGTATGGGTGTGAAACTTGGTCTCTGACATTAAGGGAGGAACATAGACTGAGGGTATTTGAGAACAGGGTGTTGAGGAGAATATTTGGACCGAAGAGGGATGAAGTGACAGGAGGTTGGAGAAATCTGCATAATGAGGAGCTTCATAACTTGTACTCTTCTTCAAGTATAATTAGAATGATCAAGTCAATGAGAATGAGGTGGGCAGGGCATGTAGCACAAATGGGGAAGAAGAGGAATGCGCATAGGATATTAGTGGGAAAGCCAGAAGGAAAGACACTACTAGGAGGACCAAGACGTAGGTGAGTGGATAATACTAAAATGGATCTTACATAAGTTGAGGTTGTATGGAGAGGATTGATCTGGCTCATGATAGCGACCGGTGGAGGGCTCTTGTGAACACGGTAATGAACCTTCGGGTTCCAAAAATGCTGGGAAAATTCTTGAATAGCTGCACAACTGGCAGTTTCTCAGAAGGGCTCAGCTCCATAAGTTAGTGAGTGGAGCCAGGATAGCTCAGTAGGTATAATGATCAGGCTACGGAATGGACAACCGAGGAGTCATGGTTCGATTCCTGATAGGAACAAAAGATTCTTTCCTTCTCCATGTCCAGACAGGCTCTGAGACCCACCCAGGCTCCTATACAAAAAGGATCTGGGGATGTTTCCCTGGCAGTAAAGTGGCAGGGGCGTGAAGCTTACCACTCGCCTGTATCTAGTGCCCAAATTAAGAACAGTGGAGCTATACCTCCACTCCTCATACGTCTTCACGGTGAGGGGCTTCATTAATTAAGCCCAGAGATAACTGCATATGTCTTATAGCCTCATAATTTAAATTTACTGCTTTGATTCTCAAATTTCATATTTATGGACTACAAAACACAAAAAAAGATAATGAAATAAATAAGTAGAACAGCTACTGACGTTTTGAATATCATCCATCGTTCTGTTTTGTTTTATTTTTTTCATTTAAATTAACGTTTCGGAGACTGGCCTCTGTCTCTGTCCTCAGGTAAAATTCATACTCATTTGGGGGCCCAATCAATAGAGTTAGTCCCTATATTCACCTTCTGCTCGCCATTCATTGTCATTTCCCACCCCATTTAACCTTACATAGTAATGGACCTTAAAGTTCCATAAAGGGAATGTATTTCTAAGCCAGCTGAGCAAATTTCCAGCTTCTCCAGAAGGATTCAGTCCATGCAAACGAGTGAGTGGGTGAGTTAATTGATTGGGTGTAATTAAATAAATGAAACTCAAGCAAATTAATTGTAAAGTTAACTGAAAGTCCGTCGAGTGTAACAATTTGTAGGTCACTTTTTTTTTATTTATTATTTCTGCCTTACATGTTTCGGTTTGACACAACCATCATCAGAGGCACTTGCTGTAATTATGGAAACACTGTCGCACTGATAGTGTAACGGACCAAAATGAAACAATTCAAAATTAATTGTAACTTAGATAAAATTTAGTCTATTCAACAGTTGGGGGGACGTGGTAGCATAGTTGGTTGTGACACTATGCTACAAGCCGAAAGGTCACAGATTCGATTCCCAGTGAGGTCACTGGATTTTTCACTTGACCTAAACCTTCCAGCCACATTATGCCCATGGGGCCGATGCGACTTCTAACAGAAATGAGTACCAGAAATCTTCCTGGGGGTAAAGGGTGACCGACGTGTAAGTCTGAAAACCTCACCGCCATCTGTGAACCGATTATCTAGAAAATGTGGGAGGTTCGACATGTGACAATCTTATGGACCTCCATGGCCTGTTACAGAGATACCTTTACCTTTATGTTTACCTTTTATGTATTCATCAGTCACATGAAGGTAATGCAGAAAATCATATTAACTATACCTGGCCTCAGAAACCAGTCTAGCCACTTCAGCTCAAACTGAGGTGAACTTACACGTTGATAAACATATGTTTTAAAGTGTTCACTAAAGGTACACTGTTAATTAACTGTGTAAAAATACACATAACTTGCAAACTGAATATGCTTGGTTGGAATCGCAGTGATGGCTATCCTGATGATCCTGATCTTACTATGGGTTCCTCATCCAAGGCGGCAATAGATACAGAAGTTCTTCAATGGTAACTAAAAAGAAAAAGTAAAGGTATTCCTGTAACAGGCCATGGAGGCCCATCGAGTTGTGAGATGTTGAGGCTCCCACATTTTCTAGACAATCGGCTCACAGATGGCGGCAAGGTTGTCAGCCCTATGCGCCGGCTGCCCTTAACCCCCAAGAATATTCCAAGAACATTCCTGATACTCATTTCTGTCAGAGGCTGAGTGGACCCCAGGGCCATACTGCGGCTGGAAGGATTAGGTCAGTTGAAAAAAATCCAATGACCTCATTGGAACTTGAACCCGCGACCTTCCGTCTTGTAGCATAGTGCCACAACCAACTACGCTACTGCATGTCCCCAATGGAAACTAAACCAGTTGCGTTTTCTATCCCCACTGGTTCAGATCGAACCAAAAAAAAAAAAACGGAATCCAATAAGCCACAATAAGGAAATAAACCTATTAAAATAAAATTGTAGATAAACAGTCTCTGAATATCTATCACCTCTTTTATAACCTCAAAACTGTGAGATTAATTTTGTAACAGTATGAAAGGAAATTTATTATGGGTGGGAAATTTTGAGGAAAATTATCTTTACAATTTAATGCAATGAGCTTGGCAATTTGCCACTTATCTTTACATATGTAAATTTAAGAGTCACTTTACATTTTCAAAGTGATAGTTACTACGTCTCTTTGAGAGAATCTTCTGTGTAATGTTTTGTTACATGTAACACAAATATGGAGACACACACTACACAACTGTCTATTATTATTATTATTATTATTATTATTAACACCAACTGGAAATTCAGTGGGCAGTTTCGTTTGTTGTTTTATATGTTGTTTTCATACTGTTAACTTCCCCTATTTTCAAGTAGTACATTTATGAATTAT